CGTTATCGTGAGATAATTTTTCACATTCCACGTTAGTTTATGTGCTTATGTAAAACGTTATCATTAACCTTCATTCGCTTTCAAATGGAAATGTAGATATAAAACAACCATTAAAATAACGCAACTATTTAAAGTCAGTTTTTCGACGCGAAAAACTTGACTTTGAATTGCCAAAATCGTACTATTTAAAGTATTTTTAGAGTTTAATATATATAATGATACATATAATAATATTAATATATAAGTCTTATGTTTCTCATTGCTCATTTATTTAATATATTTTATATTCAATAATTACAAGATAAGATATAGAAAAGAGACACAAGCATTCAACTAAAGACAAGTGAGCTCCAAACAGATGGCGATAAAATTTGATAATAGGAATCATTAGTTTGCAGAAAGAAGAAGAGATTCAATAACGGTACAATTTAATGGCCGTATTGCATTTCTGCCAACAGTAACATCGAACGTAACGTGGAGCGTGTCCGTTGGATCCACCGGCGCAATTTCACGACGCTTATCGGCGGCGATAAGCGGCAGAGAAAAGCGAGACGAAGCGAATAAGAAAAGCAACGTCGCCGGGGATCATTATATAAGCGAGTCCGATATATGGTGCTCGCGTGCAAAGTTAAGGAGCGTAAAGCGCGCTCCACCACGCAGCTTGTCATCGCTTTTATTTCGACGAGCACGTTGCACCGGCGCGACGCGTCGCGATGCGACGCGCGCTAAATTTATACTATATAAGCGCAGCGGCGCGTCGCATTTAATTATAGCAGCCTTTAGAGAAGCAAAATTCTGCAATTCGCGAATACACGGTGAGACACGAAGCTCGGGTCTCGGTGAAACGCGCGCGCTTGTGGATGGCATTCTTTAACAATGATTCGCAACCGGTAGTCCGCGAATCTCGATGAAAGGGAGGAAGACCGCAGCCGGATGGCGGGAGGAAATTTCAAAAGAACTGTGAGAATATCTGACTTAAGAGGAACGACGAGAAAGAAAGGTCGCCGGTGTAAAAATTAATCTCTAAATTAAGTATCCTTATTAAACTTCCACATACGAAGTTGAGCGTCTCCGACATTCTCATTCGGTGACGAAAACGGAGGAAAAAGTCGCGAGGAATTATTATATCTCATTATCTGACTTTATATCTTGTTATTCCCGCGAGATTGGAATATCAGAATTTTTTTCTGATAGTATGAGAAATCCCACTCAAAAGATCGATTGCGAATTTACTCAAACGAGGAACAATTGACAAGAGAAGCAAGGGATATTTCACGAAGTGAGTTTTGCAGTATTATGATGACTCTAAAGCGTAGTATTACGGCGTCGTCAGAGAACGTTATTAAAATGACCGTAATCGACCGAAGGCCAGGTGAACGATGCAGGTGCTACCGAGGGCAAGAACGCTACCGTGCACGCAGATGGCTCGCCCCGTACCTCAGCGAGAGATCTCCTTTCCATCCGACGATCTTCAAAAGTTCATTTCCACGCAAATCCGCTCATTACACACACCGCGTGCTAACAAGCGCGGGCTCGCATGCACACGCGCGCGATAACGTCGCTTTACGTAACCCCTGCGTTTTAACCCGACGATTTATTGTGCGGTTTAATATATTCGCGAGGACTCGGATTCAGCGCCGCGACGTAAGCGATATTTACGCGTAAACAACTGTGTCACTCGCTAATTATATTTACGGGGAAAATTTTGCATCAGCAAGCCGTGTGCGAGCGTAATCGTCGTCGCGCTCGCCGACCTGATAAACGCCAACGTCGATGTACATTTTTCCCCGCTTCCAATCGATTCCTTCGTGTCCGAGCGAGATTATACCGTCTGACGCGATATATTTTTATCTATTATATTTCCTCTATCGCGGAAATTATCGACGGAAATTATCCCTATCGGGCCGTTAAACAGAAAGAAGTACCGAGAACAATGACGCGCATTCGTGATAACAGCCAAGCGCATCGTGACTAATCGGCCTTGCCGAGATCGTCCTTGTTATCATCGTCACCGCGTAAAATAACATCAGATGCGACTTTTCGCATGAAAAATATCGAAAGGAGGCACGTGCATCTCGACACGTAGCCGGCTAGACTCCTCGTCGCCGGAGGTCCGAACGAGGTCCGTTCGACACGATCGCACACGACGAGGCTCTTCGGTGAGACCGTTAAATCAAGAATCGCGCCTCTAATCGCCAGCTCGCGCGAGATTGCGCCCGCGTACGCGCGCACGGCCGCTTGCGACTCGTGAATGTTGAATTAACAAAAAAATCGCCGCTCGTGAACACAAATCATGGCGTGCCAAAACGCGGTTTTGCAAGTCGAACCTTTCGGCGGGGAACGTGACGGAACGTTGAACGTAATCGCGTAAACGTTCGTCCGATATCCTACGGTAAACGGTAAACGCAGCGTGTCCCCGGATCAGAGAGACGTTATGTAAGAGAACCGCCTCGGACTGGCCGTGAACTTAACGGCATCGTCGTCGTCGGCGACGACGACGTTGTTGTGGCCGTCGCAGTCGAACGGCTCCTTTTCCACGCAGTTCACACGCGTTCGGTACACTCGACTGTGTGAACAAAATCGAATGCAGGAGCGGAAGGCGGAGAATCTAAGGAGAATCTAAGGCAGAGGCATCGGAAGAGTTCCAAGTTTCGGCCAAGAATCACGCCACGGTCGTGGGTGGAGCACATCCATCTTCATCAGCCAGGTATATTAATAGCGTCACCGGACGATTATCAAGTTTATACCTAGTGGCGAGTCGTGCGTCGACCTATCTGCAGCCCGCGTCCACCACTCGCTCCTCTCGCGTGCGCCAATGCATGTACGATACATTCTTAATCTTTATTCTGTACGATGTAAAAGTCGGTCACAGAGCCGAATCGGAGCCGACGGATAGATTCCTAAGACTCTGTTTTCTCAAGAAAGTAACCAGCAACTACGCGTTACTGACGCCCTCCAACGTGAGAATAAATTATACGGCGATATGTAAATTAATAATTTATAATTACGACGGATCTTTTCTTGGATCTTTCATATAAAATACGCCGATTTAGTCAGGGAAACGCGGATGATTGACGGGGAATAATGACCTCCCGTGGAATTCCCGTCGAGGAGAGATCGGCTGCAGATGTTGAGGAATCCGTAATTAAAATCTTACGAGGTGAATAAGAGGGCAGATGCGTATAGGCTGGCTGGCTGGCAGACTGGCTGCACAGAGGTCAATAATCGCAGTCTGTTTAGCTTGGAGTGATAAAAAATGAATCGCGAAGGAGAGCGAGGAAAAGAGCGAATGCATGAGCGAGACTTGGTATCGGAGGAAAAAAGAAGGCGAGCATGTGCTCGAGATACCGTGATCCTCTTCAATGCTCACTGATTAATTTCGAGAAAAAACTGGCTCTCTGGCGAGGAAGATGCATTCTTATCGCGTGTGTTTCCTTCATGGCTTATTACAGCTTCAAAGAGGGAATTGCAATTTGGCATTGTTTTCAGAAAGAAAGAGAGATTGTTCCGTTTAAAAATAGCTCTAATTGGTAGATAATTTTGTGGATGATTAAATGTAGTAAACAAGAAGCGTCTGAATGGACGATTGTCTTGTTAAGAATTGCGATTTCATTTTTAAATCGTTTTCCTCAATATCTTGTTTGCGTAGTGTTTGTCGTTTTTTGTGTAGCGCACAGCTGGTATACAATTAAAAGCGTTTATACCATTATCATTAATATCACATGAACTCTGTTAATCATCGCGTATCGTCATCATTATCGCGATGTTTCAGTGCCGTAAAATTTTTATTTATATTTCATTATTTACGTTTTGTTAAAGCCCAAGATTATAAATTAATTATAAATTAAAGACCGGACACTAAAGATTCGTCCTTTCAAATAATAATATAAAGACACCTACCGAACTACGCATCTTTTAATTCGAATTCGAATTTTAATTCTACATTAAGTCTATTTAGTTCTACATTAAATTTTCAAAGATCTGTTGTACTCCTTTAATGCTACAAATAGGGAGTTATTTCTGTTTTCTTCACTTGAAGACTTACCGTAGAACTAAGTAGTCTTAATGTAGTCTAAATTTTCACTCGGGAAGCTGCTCGGCGCAACTTCTTTTCGATATAAACAAACAGTAAAGAATTTGGTGTCAATAACGGTAAGTAAAAATTTCAACGGACCGTTGGCACAAAATTTTTTATCGTGTACCATTTTACGGGTTTCGAGAATTAATTAACCGCTGCTCGAAAAGTTCCCGTTCGGGCGTTATTATCACGACAGATTTGGCCTCGCTATCTCGCATCAGACGACACGCATCTGAACCAGATCCGCGGACGCGGCGTGCACTCTGAGCGATCGATCCACCTGCGTGAATCCGCGCGTACCGTGCGAGAGCGCGGTGCATTCACAAAGACGCGATTGAATGTCGGTGATTTCGATTAAGTCGAGGCAGATTATGAAACACGAATGATAAACCAGTAGACTTTTAGTCTACCGACTCGCCTGAAACGTTATTCAGATTAGGTGTTTCGTAATAATCTTTATGTAACCATGTTGTTACCCTTCGCTCGCGCGAGCAAATCGAATGTAAAACGCCAGTTTGACTTTTCGGGGATCGTGAGACCGAACCGTCCCTAGAGGCTGGCGCGGCCCTTTTTTATGATCGACCGATTTCCTTTTGTTCACACGTCAACCCGAGTTACCCGGGTATGTTTGACTCAAGCTAAGAGCCGCGTGAGACACTCGGTTGGACGATGATCAAACACTCCAGGTTTTGTGGAATGATACCTACCTCTTCGTAGACGAACAAACACGAAAGGAATTCAGAACGCAAGGAAAATGATCTTTTTTCAGATCTCGGTGAATTATTAGCCGGAACGGTAGGTACTCCGATCTTAAATCGCGGTAAAGCGCTAGTCGACATGTCAAATTCATGCGACTCGAGCACGACAGAGCGGCGACGTGTGTTCAGCGCGAGAGAGTCGTATCAAAACGTGATTTACTTACCGAGATGAACCGCCAGGTTGTACCTCTCGAGCGCTTGACCCAGGTGACCCTTCCTCACGAGAATATCACCTTCGTGTCTGGCCCGGCTGGCTTCGACTTCTCGCGGCCACCATCTCTCCACGAGTCTCTGTATGAGCACGTTCGTCTCACCCACCGTGACGATCTTCAGCCCGCACACACGACAATTCTTCGCTGGGTCCACGCAGTTCCTGCAGTACGTGTGACCGCAGCCGGCGGTCACTGGTTGACAGAGGGTGCCTTCGCACAGCGGGCACGCGAAGGACGCCTCGATCCTCCGTCTGGAGGTCGGCCCAGAACCGGCCATGTCGTCCAGCAGCGCGGTCGCCAAGTGCTTTAACTTTTCGGCCGGCACGGACGTCGCGGCCAAACACCTCGAGTAGATCCCGACGGAGTCCCTGATGTTACCGCACTTGGCCAGAGAGTCGCCGTAGCCGAGCAGCACCTCGTAGTTCGTGTTCTGCTGCTTCAGGCTGTTCCGTTCGTACATCTCAGCCGCCAAGTGGTAGTCACGCGAGGTGAACGTCTCCTTGGCGAGCTCCGCCATCGCGTCGTCTTGCGTTTGCCCGTCGCACGTCGCCCTTCGGACGAGGGAAACGGGATCGTGTATTCCTCTCGATCTCCAGTCACTCACTCGCACACGTCGAATGTCGGCCGGTCCGCGCGGCAGAAACCGCTCGCCTCCGGAAAGTCGGAGACGGCGCGCATCTTACGGAAAATCCGACTGGGAGTTACGTCGGACGCGCTACGATCACGGAAACCAGGACACCGTCACCGGGAATCGCACGCTTCCGCGATTCCGATCGCGATTCGTCACACTCGATCTTCTCTCTCTCTCTCTCTTTCTCAGGAATCTCGCCGATGATTCACCAGCAGGGGTCCTCGTCGGAGCGATACACGTAGAGTTTGACAGCTGAGCGTCCACGCGATCCACGTCGTGCTGCTCGGTGAGCGTGACGCACGCGCGCGAGACCGCTCCACACGGCACACTGGCGCACCGAGGACTGACGCCTCGGCTGTCACAGGTCAGCCGAGCCACTGTCAGAGCCGGTCGGCCGCCAGCAGGGGATGGTGGTGGTAACGGTGCTGGCGGAGGCGGCGGTCGTGGCTGCGGTGGAGGAGTGCTCGTGGTGCAGCCACCTCCAAGATACGAAGCCAGCGCCACGCGGCTTCGGTGTACTACGCGGGGGTGGGGAGGGAATTACGGAGGGAGCACGCTGCACGTATAGAGTTGCGAGAGTGTTGCCGCTTACTCGCATCGTGGCGGCGTGTCTGCTGCGGTGCGTAGGTGTCGCCGGTCGCATTGTCGTTGCTCCCACCCGGGGCGTCGTCGTACCGTCGTCGCGAGGATCGCTTCTTCTTTGTTCGCTCCGGATGCTCCCTGATCGCCGGCGGTCATCGTAATCGCGCGAAATAGTTGTCGTCAGGTAGAACGTCGGAGACGAGTGCACCTTTCCATCGGGAAGGATCGTGGAGCTTTCGTCGGCTTTTTCCTTGTTCCTCGTAGTCTCCTCGGTGACGTTATCGCTCGTCTTCTCGCGTTGGCTCGTCGTCGAGGTTGATGAGAGAGCAACAGCGTCTCATCGACCTGTGGAAAGGGAGGACAAAGGTCATGATGAAGCTTTCACTGCGTTTAATCCACTTTTTCCTTCAGCGTTCTACCAAATGGACGTTGCAGTGAATGACGACGGTCACGTTCCGAACGCATAATCGGTGCACCTTACTCTCCCTTCGTCATTGTCACACAGGATGATCGAGGCATGACGCTATCATTGACACATTAACGTTACCGTAATGGTCCGATTATGGACGATCCCCGTCGCCATCGAGTTCCCCCGCTCGGTCGATCTTACGCGGGACACATTCCCGGACACTTGTTGTCGTAACCTTGGCTCGATCGACCGGGGACTTCCGCGGGAACGGATCTGCCCCGGTCTCGCCGGTACGTCGAGTGTGCGCGAACTACGCGACACAGGGCTTCTTTCGAGCGGGATTGCACCGATGGTGCGCAAAATGCGAGCTTCGATCGTACGGAGAGCTCTTCGTCGCGCCGAATTTCGGCTTTACAGGCACTGGACTTCCCACTGAGCATGAGCAGTGGCGCACGGATCCTGAGGTTACGTGCCCGCGTTCACGCTCGATGCGTGCGGACACGCGTGCAGGGAATACGCAGACGCCGCGAAAGCGCACCTCTCGAAATGAAGCGAAAGGGCTGAACTGCGTGCCGCGAGTGCGGCGAAGGGCGGCGAAGAATGGGAGATCAATATATGGCGGCCCACGGGGTGATTAACCCCTTGCACTTGTCGCGTATCTCTACGAGCCCTTCTCTCTTCCTCTCGCTCTATCGAAGTTTGACAGCGGACTGTTCGACGAGTTCAAAATGGGCTTCTGCCGAGCGTGATTTCGGAGAAAACTTAATTAGAGATAGATAGATAAATAGAGAGAGAAAGAGAGAGAGTGAGAAATGCGATTAATATTGTCTTAAGGCAAGTCCTGTAAGGACATGTAATATTAAGGAAATTACATCAGTGAATTCACAAGATAGTGAAATTTTTACAATTATGGAATAGTAGAATAATAAACTAAATATATAGTGGATTAAGAATAGTAATTATGGTTATAATAGGATGCATAGTAAAGATGTAATGATAGTAAATATAAAATAGTGGCAATGAAAACGATTAACAATGAATATAATAAGAGTAATATAATAAGAATATAATAGGAGGAGAATATAATAAGAGTAATAATGATGATGTTCGGCAACTAATAAGTACGTATAAATTTGTAAAGAGAGAGGAAGAGAGAAAGAGAAATAGAGTAGAATAAAATTTATTATAACCCCGCGGATTAAACCTTTTTAGGTTTATAGACACTACGTCTTGGCAAAATGCTTAAATCAGATCACATGCAGAATAATTATTGAAAATCAATCATTGTAATATAGCAGTGAGAGTACAAACTATCCTTAGTAAGACTGACAAATGTATGGATCGTATATTGTATGTAGTGTAGTATAGTGTGTCCCACTGCAAGACAGAAATCCAGACGGTACACCAAAGTATGCGTTTCAAAATCTCAAAAGCAGAGATAATCTAAAGATAATCTAAAGAAGCAAAAATATACGGTATGCTATACGTTCCAAGTAATTATAATATAAAACATAAATCGTAAAGGTGCGCACAGAAAATAATTACTTATCGACTCACACTAGAGCCGAAATAACGCAAAACAAACAGGTAGATGAAAGCGCAGATAGTCTTACATAAATGGTAGTATATCAATTTTAATTAAATCCAGTAAAGTGTTAATGTAGAAAATATAAATAAAAATCAACGTTATAAGTAAGGAACTATTCATTAGCTGATGCTGAACCAATACTGATATCGCGTAGAACAAATAAAATATAAGAGCAAAAAAGGAAAAGAACATACATTTATCGGCGCTCTGGGACAAATTCTTTTTATATATAGAGCGTATAACTGTAAACGCATTATAATTGCGAATTATGTAAATATAAGATAATATAAACACAGAGAAAACAAATATCACTTGAATAGCAAATTCATTGTTAATATAGTGATAACATAAAAATTTGTTTGGATAGCAAAAAGTTTTGTGTGGAGTAATTGGAAAAGTTTTTGTTAAAAGTCTTAATTGCTATTTGCTGGATATATAGATAATAAAATAATTTGGTTGCTTGCCAACTCAATTTTATTGTTGTCGCAACGACGTTTTGCTACAACAGCAAAATTATTTTTCCGTATAACAATTCTTTTCGCTGTCACTATATTAACAAACAATTTGCTGTTCCAACAAAACTTGTTTTCTCCGTGCATGCTTCTAAACTGTGTTACATGAATTAAGGTAACTATGCTTAAAACCGTTATAGAAATTACTATTTCGAATATTGACTAGAATTTTGTTTCAAATGTTAGAAGTTGGACATCTGAAAGATTGTTTAGTAGACTTGCAGAGATATTCAAGGCTAAAGACAAGAGCAGAGTGGGGGATAATTCGCAAATTTAAAAACGTAGGAAACTATACAAGCGATCGCGTCAGGATGTGAAACGGATGACTGTCGATAGTCATCCAGAGCGAGAATGACAAATGCGCGAATTGATAGCGCGTATTCTTACGTGATCGTTTGAGCTATTTAAATTATGTGTTGTTATGTGGCGCAGTATGCATAGCGCAAACGCGATATGTCCAAATGACAAAATGTTCGGCGCGAATACACTGACGTACGATGAAATAAAAGTATTCAGATCTCGTGGATTATGAAAATGATACGCTAAATTATCAGATATTCATCATGTCAGAACTTACTTAAGGAAAAATTTATTCTCGTTTTATTGTACTTAATTGGAAATGTCGTTCCGTTTGAAACCGGGACGACACGTTTTGCTTATACGACATGCTTAAAACAAGAAACCGATGACAATTTGGCATTATGTAACCTCGTTCGATTAAGTGGAAGAAAAGGAAAAAGGAGCAACGATTGCGAGGAGTGCGTTCGAAAAGCGAACGTATTCGAAATCCGAAAAGCCGCGCGCGCTTAATCTCCAGCTGCATACGCGCGTTTATCTGTCGACTTACGTAAGGTATTTGTGCCGTACAAAGAGTCACCTTTGCCGATCGCAAAACAAATTGTTAATCATCGAAATACGGCGTATCTCTCGCCGTTACGTAAATGGTTTACACACGGTTGGTGAGGCGTGCCGCGGCCATGCGACGTCGTATGTGCTCCTTTTGGCAGCGGACGGAAGACGCTGCGGATTTTATTATGCTTAATGCGGCTAAGAGCCGTCGTCATCGTCGTCCTCGTCGTCGTCCTCGCCGTCGTCGTCACCGTGCCGTCGTGTCGCCGTCGACCACGTAGGCTTCTCGCGAGTTCATAGTTACGTCAGTGCTTTAATCTCACTGCCGGTTGAAATCGCGGTGTAATCGGTCGCGTTAGCGAGCAAAAATGACCAGCGCGCACGATTGCGTGCTATCGGTATTTGTTCTTTAATTGGGACAGGGTGGGAAGGGTGCGCGGCTCGAAATAATTCGCTTTTCCGACGCGCACTTCTTTCGCTTTTTTTTTTTTTACCTCGGAGAAGCGACGACGAGCTCGCCTCGAAAAACACGTCGCGCACTCTGACATAACGCGAAGCCGAACCACCTCGCGCTCGTTATTAAACGCCGCGTTTCGCAATTGTAGGCGCCTTACGTGGCCGCGCGCGTTTACTAGAGCGTTGAGCAATGCGAGTAACGAGTTCGATATACACGAGATCGAGAAGTGTGGACAAGCGCGGATTCCTCGGGTAGCCGGATACACGGGGTACCGCGCGCGTCTCTCACGAATACTTTTAACCAGAGAGATTGCTCCAATTCGCGCAGAAATGCGGCTAGAACTCCGCTCCGAGGAGAGACCGCGTTTCGGTGGGCGTTACGTAAGAGGCCGCCGATTAATTTACAAGAAGGAGATCGACCGGCGTCGTCGAAGAAGGATACGCCACGGTCCGTCATTAACCGTCTTCTCACCGGCACGATTAAATCTGATCGACGGAATCGCGACGTTCGTCGACTCGCTCGAACATTCCTATCCTCTATAATTTAACACCGTAATTCCGTTCTGGGCTACGACGTGTCCTCGATAGATCGCGCGCGCGCGCTCCTATTATCGCCGTCTTTTCGCCAAAGAGGAAAATCTCCGTTATAATCTATCCATCTAAAATTATGCGCTGCGTAACGTAATTGTTACATAAACGTTCTATGCTAAACGTCGAGTTTGCCGGCTCGTCGTCGTTATCAGAAGAACGGGCCGCGTCCGGGAGAGGGGGAGGGGGGGGGNGGGGGGGGGGGCGATGCGCCGCGATGTGCGATGCATTACATTGCATTGCATAGGGACGTGGCGCGTGTGTACACACGCGCGTCTTTGCACGTGCGGATTCGCAGGCGCGCGGAACGGCGCGACGTGGACTGCTGCGAAACGCGGTTGCGTAAACGCGTGGTTTAACCATGCGAGAGCGCTCGCTCGCTCG